GAGAGAGAGAGAGAGAGAGAGAGAGAGAGAGAGAGAGAGAGAGAGAGAGAGGTCTGAGGGGGAGACAAGCTTACCTGACTACCTCCCGGTGTTGTCTCTGCAGAAGGAGACAGCGCTTTGGTACAGAAGGCTGGCATTGGCATATCCAGTGTTGTTCTCCTTAGCACTGGTTTGGTGTATCCAGTGACAGTGAGATATCAAGAATCTTTACAACATCCAAGTTCACCCAGGCGAATTCGGCATGTGGTTTACTCGCTTGATCTCAAAATCCAGCCACATCTACTCAGGTTTGTGGCCTTCTTTTGTCTTTTTTGCATCAAAGATCTGGTGGAGACCTATCACTGGAGCCGATACGAGCGTCCGCCAATAGTAGCCCTCCTGTGTAGATGGCTCCAATCTATTGGTGGGGAGCTGCTGCAGCTGGAAACCGGGTCCAGCGGCCCATTTACAGGATAGTAGTGGGCTTGGACCCGGCGGTAGGTCTGCATATGATGAGCAGCATCGATCGCCCTCTGGCGAGGAGATTAACTGCCCATCTAGATTCTGATGGGCTCATTCCAATCTCCCACCCCTGATGTGCGGATGTGACGACATTCCTCCATACCGCTGGTCCCCTACCATTGAGGCGGCATCCCACCTATCTCGATTACCCCCTCCCTCCCATCACTTCTGACATAAACTGCGGGCAGGAGAACGCAGACACAGGGACTTCCCCTTCTATGCCGGGTACTCGCGCAACCCATCTTACCCACCCACTTTAGGTGTTTTCTTATTTGCTTTTTTTTCTCCCATTTCTGTTTCATCCAGAAATATCTTGAGAAATATCTGCTGTGCTGTCTCATTGGGCATCATGTCCTGAGGATATGAAGAGAACCCTCCTTTTCGTGCACAATATTATTTTTGTGCACCGTTGCTGCATTGCCAATACATCTTTTTGCTCTGGTTATCGCTCGATATATAGATAAATTAATAATAATATTGTGTAATTTAAATGCACTAATAGTCTAATTCACCTTTTTTTTTTTTTTTGTTAATGATTGAAAATTAGAATAAAACTTATAAAAGTTATAAAACTGAATATAAGTAAATACTAAATAATATTGTGTAATTTTCATTCACTAATTCACTTGTTCCTGTTCGGGTAATTGCCGACTGCCATCTGTCGATCGATTGCCTTGCAGACATACATAGTTTCGGCTGGAGTGCAGCGGAGATCCAAGAGGCAGATGAGGCATCCATCCTGTTAGCTGCTGATGTTGTCTACGATGACCAGATCACAGATGCATTCTTCAGTCTGCTCAGAAAACTCATGCCTAGCGGCTCCTCCAAGGTGGTGAGAAGAAATTGCTGCATGCGCAAATTTGTATTCTCATAACTCTTTCTGCATTGCATGCACCCACGCCATGCCACACCATGTGGCTGAGTGGTACGGCCATGACCTGTTGATAAGCATACAGTGCCATACACCCAAAAAAAAACAAAAAAAGAGAGAGAGAGAGAAAAGAGAAGCACCATACACTGCAGTTCGAGTTTGGAACCCGTAATGGAATAGGATCGTGGGGGGGGAATGTAATACTGTGCGTGGCATGGCACTGCATGCTGATTTGGTTGGCATTTGTATGAGCAGTTACACTTTTTTTGCGAGCAAGTGCAATGCCTCTTTTTTTTTTCCTTTTTCCTTTTTTATCAAACGGTCAAGACAGAGTCTACTAGGAGATCCGTTTCTCGAAACTTTCTCTGAACTTCACCGCAGAGCGTGATACCAATCACTACGTTGTGTTATCATCATAGTAATAGAATAGACTGAAAATCAAATTTGAAGACTGGAAACGACGTTGGGAGGGGGATAGGAGCCTCCCCCCCACGTAGCCCAGTTATCAGCCGGTCCATCAATTGGTGGGGAGGGTCACCTGCTGGAAAATGGGTCAGGGTCAAGTGTCCCTTGAATCCATCAACAGTGTACTTTCATGAACGCTCAAGTCCTCCTTGGTTCACCTTTCTTAGGGGAGGGAGGGTGGGAAGCGGGTGGGGTGACACAGCCTGGCCCACATAGCATCACACACACACACCACAGTTTCACCGCCCTGTGCAAGTAGAAGCGCCTGCCTACCCCGTATTCTACCTCACAGGCCACACACCACCATCCACTCCACATAGAATGACCCACCTCACGTAATGCTCCACAGCCAGACCGCCCAGTACACACGGCACCCCACATAATGCCCCACCCACAGTGTCACAAGGCTGCACACGCAGCCCGCCACAGTACCCAGGCATCCACGCAACCCACATACTATGTGGGTGATACTGTGTGCGTTGGGTAGCACCACACTACGTCCGCGTATCACGACATAAATCATCGCGACACAGCACAAAGACGGCTGTATTACAGATACAGAGAAGAGTAATCTCAAATTATGATTGCCCATAGCTCAGGAGAGCACGCAACAATCATCAATAAGGCGCACTCTTCAGCACGTCCCACCATCAGCATCCTCCGTTCTCGTCTTTCTCATACCAACGTGCTATACCAGTTTATAGTACTTTATACCACGTGGATTCAAACTCAGGTCCGTTTATCGACGGTTGGTGGGTGTACCATTCAGCCACATAGGCTGTTTGGTTGTTTTTTTTTTGTTTTGTTTTGTTTTTTTTGTTGTTTTTTTTTCCTTTTTGGAAAATGTGTTGGGAGCCCTATCTATTGCATCGGGAATTGGACTTCCATCCATCTGTTTATCGATAGTTTTTGGGTGTACCATTCAGACACATGGGTGTTTTTTTTTTTTTTTTTTGGACCATTTGTCAGTTTATGTGTGTCATCCTTGCGCAGGGTCCATGCTAATCTTCATTTTGTATCGTTTTAATTTTAATGGATGTCCTAAAGGACACATGGGCCGGGTTTTCGCTTTTTTTTTTTCTTTCTCCTTTTTAATTTTTTTCAAAGAAAGCGTACCCCCCCTAACGCCCTTTGCGGCGTCTGGAGCGAGGTCATACTAGCAAAGAGGATCGGATGAGGCGTCTGAATGTGGACGTGTTCTACGCGGAGATGGAGCAAAGCAGATCAATCAGGTTTGTGAGCAGGTCTCCACAAACATGTCCAGATTCAGGTGCTAATTCTTTGAATCCCCTATGGTAGTTGGAATGGTACAGAGAAGAAATGTTGACGGTTGCATGTGTATATGCTTCATCGAGATGGGGCAGGTGTGTACTTGGGGCCTCGCCACACCACCCTCGAAACCAAAAAAGAACGAATGCATCTTCCCCAGAAAGTGGTAAGATCATAGATGCGGCGCATCGACATGGGCTGCAAAGCGCACATGCGGCGCGGCGCGCACGATGCGCACGCACGGCATGCGGCGCATGCCACCACAAAAAAAATAAATTGGGGGGCAGGTTGTAGGCCTGCTAGGCACTTCGCACCGCCTGGTACCAAAAAAAAACAAAAAAAAATTACGGGCGCAGGGGGCACTGCAAAAAAAAAAAAAAAAGCGGGACCAAGTAGTTTGTTTCTGAACTCCTCGGACCTGCCCCACGCCGGCGGGAAGGAGCCGAAGGACGCAGCAGCGGGAGGGGGCGAAGGAAGCAGCCATATCCAGGTGGGTTACCACCAGCCCCTCCCTCTGTGTGTGTGTGTGTGTGTGTGTGCATGCGTGGAAACTGTGCAGCTCCTCGTCCTCCCCATTTCTCCAATGTCATCGTTTTTCTCCACCTCCCCCTTCCTCCCCCTTCCTCCTCCTTCCTCCCTTCTTCGTCATTGCTCTCCTACTCCCCTGCTGATCATAGTGCTCTCCTTCTTCGCCATTCTCCTACTCCTCCGCTCTTCTGCCTTCCCCCTCTTCCCTCGTCATCGGTGTGCTCCTCCCTCCTCCATTTCCTCCGTCCTGGCTTGTCATCTTTCTCCTTGTCCTCAATCCTACTAATCGTTCTCCTCCTCGTCAATCCTCCCCATCGTTCTCCTCCTCCTCAATCCTCCCTTGTCGATCTCCTCCTCCCTCCCTCCTTCGCCACCGGTGTGCTCCTCCATCCTCCATCCTCCCTCCACCCTTCTACCGTCCCCCTTCTCCCTCGTCAGTGGTGTGCTCCTCCCTCCTCCATTCCCTCCATCCCCCCTCATCATCATTCTCCTCCTCCTCAATTCTCCCTCGTCATCGATCTCCTCCTCCCTCCGTTGTTCTCCTCCCCCTCCCTCCTTTGTCACCGGTGTGCTCGTCCCTCCATCTTCGCTCCCCCCTTCTACCTTCCCCCTACTCCCTCGTCATTGATGTGCTCCTCCCTCCTCCGTTCTCTCCCTCCTCCCTCGTCATTGTTCTCCTCCTCCTCAATCTCCCCATCGTTCTCCTCTTCCTCCTGAATCCTCCCCATCGTTCTCCTCTTCCTCCTGAATCCTCTCCATCGTTGAAAAAACGCTGTGTGCACCATGTGCACCGATGGGCGAGCCTTGCGCACCCCCCAGCGCACTGGCGCGCTGCGCAGCGAAGTGTCGCGCTGCGCAGCGCGCATAGCGCGTCGATGCGCGATGCGCGCGCATAAGTGCATGTGCCGCCCAAGGGCGCACGGCGCATCGCGCATCGATGCACGATGCGCGCGCATCAGTGCACGTGCCGCCCGAGGGCGCGCGGCGCATCTCGCACCGCAGTGCATAGATGCGCCACAACTATGGGTAAGATGCATCGGTTGCTATTCATAGTAACAGATGCTCTTGCCATTCTCTGCCGGAAGATGCAGTCATGTTTCTTTCGTTTCGACAGTGGTGTGGCGAGACCCTTATATGTGAGTAGCCTTGACCCCGTGGTTTGAATACAGCTCGAACGCGACGAATCAGAAATGAAACACGACAAAAATAAAAAACCAAAAACGATAAAAAACGAAAATGAAAAACGAGAAACACCAAAAAGGAAAATGACAAAAAACATAACGAACAAGGACAGAAACCAAGTCAGAAAAGAACATAGCCATCCGTCTTCCTGATCACGGATTCGCCCCGGCCAGTTAAGTCATCCAACTTTTGTAAGGGACGCCTGGCCCATTTACAGGCTTGTATTAAGAAAGTTTCTCTTTTGTAAGAATCAGCAAAAGTAACAAAGAAATAAAGAGCAGACGGAAAACAGAAGTGAAACTCAGGCCACACTTGAAAGGACTTGAGCTCTCGACCTTCCCGCAAAAACAACACGCCATGCAAAACAACACACAGAACCCCAACTAAATAACAGTGTGAACGGCCCACACTCGAACAGGGGTTGGAGCTCAAATCCAGAACACCATGTGTCCCAGAAAATTGTTCGACTGGATGTCGCAGGTATCATATATAGGCTGTATAGTGTTTTGAGATGGCGTTTAGTCGTCTGTCCCCAATACGATAGGGTGATCGGTCCCCATGTAGTGTTAGTCATTGCTGTAAACTATGTGAAAGGATTTCATGCTGCAGACACCCGGACTCCCAGAGTCCCCAAGTTACAATGTCACAGTCCCGGACGGTCCCAGATGTACTAGGTCTTGGTAGGGTAGGTCGGATAGGCCAGATCGAAGCGTCGAAAGTCAAGTGGGGCCGTTGTAGAATATTCCGGTACCCGACAGAAAAGTCCAAGTCCAAGGTCCGTCCTGTCCAGTCCAGTCCCAAGTCCACAACATAGCAGCAAGTCCCAGGAAAGTCTGAAGTTACAGGACTGACAAAATGGTTGCAACAGAGGGCATTGCTGACCAGTACTGGTCCGAAGCAGGCCGAGCATCGGTAAAGTCCTTAATTTAGGTGCTACAGAGCAGCGGCTCATCAGTTGCGCTGGAAGAAGAAGGGAGCGCCGACAACAACCATAGCTAGGGTAACGATAGGGAAGCAGGGTGGCCATAGCCGCCAAGGTCTTAGTCTGATCTGAGGGGGTGTATTCAGGGAACGATCCAAGGGAAGAGAAGCGGGAGAGAGAGGTTGTGAGGATGAGCGATACAAGAGAGAGAGAGAGAGAGAGAGAGAGAGAGAGAGAGAGAGAGAGAGAGAGAGAGAGAGAGAGAGAGAGAGAGAGAGAGAGAGAGAGAGGAACAGTAGTCGGGTACATACCTGTTTCGTGTGTGATCGTTGTGTGAGCTGCGAAGCCCGTGGGAGACTTGGACACTTTCTTTGTATAATAACAATACTTCGGTTCCAATCCTTCATGCAACCTTTGTGTTTCGGCTACTGATTTTTATCGCGGATTCTCATGTGAACTTCCGTTGCATGTGTGTGCGAGGTTGAGGGTTGACTTGCGAATCATTGCATATCGCGAGCCTGGTGATTGACGAAGACACTGGCCGGCACCCGTTTTCGCTGCACCCATGGGTACTGTATTCCCCGAACTGGTTCTTCCTTCTAACCGATAATATTATGTAGACATAGATGTAGGTAGTCATCCACGCGTAGAGAGTGGAAACTAGTGCCGCGCAGAGAGTGAAAATGGGTCCAGTGTCCCTTATAACAGATAGTTGCCCACATGTAGAGAGTAGAAAATGGGTCCAGTCTTCCGTACAACACACCTACTCAGGCTTATATCACCCCCCCTAGTAGACCTAGTGCGAGAAATGAGCCCTCACGTAGGCCGCTTGGCCGCGACCTGTCACTGCCTAAGGGCCCCCCAGCAAGTACGGTGCCCGCCCTAAGTGAAGGTGGGCCTGAATTTGACAAGGGCCCCCCACTTTTGCCATTTCTGCAATATTGGGCGCCAGACAGTTACCACGCGCCACTTGGTTATCTACACCCTGCTCACCAACATCTGAAACTTCCGTGTGGCTTCTAGGCTCTTCCAGGCAAGACGTGGAAGCTGGCCTGTCGGCGAATGAGAAACAAGCAACGACATGGCTGGAGGCCGGAAGGCCAATGAGAATGCAGCAGCCACGTCGCACAGTTGGGGCGGCCTCAATGCTGCGGGCCAGGCAACTGTCTGGATGGGCCTGGGTGCAGACACTTCGGCCCAACGTCAAGCTACTGGGCCCCTGCACGCAAGGCCCAGCCCAGACAGAGGCAGGGCTCACTTTCCATAAAGGAAGCCAGCGCCTATGCCAGGATGCATTCTGGCCCTGCGCTGCTGGGCGGCCACACTGCTGCATTGTGAGCAGACAGGCTGCCTGGGCGCTGGCAAGCCCGAGTGCGCACGTGGGCACGAGAGGTGAGAGCGGCGCTGCGGTGGCAGCGGGCGCGTGGCGGCCATAGCTGGGCTGCTTGCACACGTGCCGGTGATGGTGATGGTGGCCTTCGGGTGTCGGGGACAAGGGTGAGGCAGAGGGGAGAAGAGACACGTACCTGGTGTATGCTGGCAGTCTGCATTAGCGACGTTGTCACGTACATTGGTCTTCGGCTGGAAGTGACTCCTGTTGCACATACGTAGCGTAGGCTAGTATAGTGCTGAGTAGGATAGGCAGGGCGCTGAGCGCCAATCGAGAAGAGTGAAATTGGATACGATGTCGGTGTCGTGAGAGCCTCGTTCTTCTTGTTAGAGCCTTTCATTCTTAACTTCAGGGGTACCCTAACTGTCCCCCACTTACTTGCTCCATTGGCGTGCATATATCCAAGTAGCCATCCCCCTTGAACATCCCCCATACTATATATATGTATATAATATAATATAGAGTTTTCCATCTGGTGTGGGTGAGTGATAGTCTACTTTGATTTTGGTTAAGGTAGATTATCATTTACAGTGTAATCAGTGAGGGGATTCTGCAGACTGTTGAGGGTTCAGCCTCCTGATGAGTCGGTGAAA